AAGATACAGTGATGCAAATATATATATATATTCCATTGAATAAATGCTTCTCCCTATGATGGTCTCAATTCTTAGTATAAAGAACATGCCAAATTAGAGGACTCTAGGGCCAAGATTCACTGTTTTTACAGATTATGACTGAGAGGGGTGCTATGGGGTGGGGTTATGGAGGGGAAAGCCCACACAGTGAGGTCCACCTCTGTATATATGAAGTAAGTGCTGATCACCATTATACATTCCTGCGTCATTGAACCCTATAAGAAATTGGTCTAGCATGCAAGCAAAAGATTTGTTTTATTTAACTTTTACATTTTTAGAATAGAAGTGTCTTAAACCTGTTTATAGAATGACAAGAAAATCTGATAGAGCAAAAGAGATTGAAGTATAGAAGAGAGAAAGAATAATCCCCATTGAAGTCCTTGAAAAGATGGATGGAAATGAGATTTGACACTGAAGTGAAGAGGGGAGGGAAGAGATGGAGCAGTTGGTGGAGGTAAATACTGAGTTAAAGAAAAAGAATTGGGAAATGTTATGTCTCTAGTCTTTAATTTCTCAAGAAAGAGGTGCAAAATAATCCCTCATATGGGCTCAGTGTGTAATAAATGATCTGGCTCAAGGGCAGTAGAGATTATTTGGGACAAAGCTTTAAAAATGAGACAAGTAGGAAAATAATGAGAAACACAGTGAAAAACAAAACCATGTTAATATAAAGAAATAGTGAGAATCTCAGAGGGAAGGCAGGGGAGGGTAGGTGGGTGGGAAGAGATCAATCAAAAAACCTTTATGCATATATTCATAACCTATGACATAGACAATGAGGTTGTGAAGGCCTGGGGCAGAGGGTGGGGGTGGGCTAGAAGAGGTGAATGGGGGGAATTGCTTTCAACAATAAAGATTTAAAATCTATACTAATAAAAGGGTAATATGCTAATTAGGGCAGATGTCTTCCAGACATCCATCCAGACAAAGCCACAGTGGCTGCAAGACCGGGGGCTCAGGCCTTGCAGCCTCCCTGGCCGGCAGTGGCAACAGCAGCTGGGTGATGGGAGTGGTGCCTCCCCCTGATCAGCCTGGTCACCTCCCGCAGAGGGAGGCCAGACTGTGGCTTAGGCCCACTCCCCACGGGGGCCTACGCCTTTGGTAGGACATCCCCTGAGGGCTCCTGGACTGTGAGAGGGGGCAGGCCAGGCCTCTAGTAAATAAATAAAACTAAAGAGAAAAAAAGAAATAGTGAGAACCCCTTATTTCCAATTCTGTGTCAATCTCTTAACACCTTTCAAGCTACTTGCACCCAGGTCTGAAATCACCTCCACTAGGGAGGCTGTTCCTCTTCTCCATGCTCCACATCATAGGAGGGATCCAACAGAAATGTGGATTCACTAGATTAACTCCTTCCTCTTTTCTTCTGAAGGTGGTGAGCTCCCCTGAACCAGACTCTGCCTTGTCTTTACAGCGCTGGCCTCTCCCATCATGGCATAGGACAGGTCATGGCACAAATAGGAGAAAATAACCAAATAAATAAATAAAACACTCATTCTTCAACAACTTAAAGTATTTAATGTCTTTTATAGAAGTAGCAGCATTAGTACTGAGAATAAACTTGGCCTTGGAATTAGAAGATTTGAGAATTTATTTTATTTGGAGTGCCATAAATCCCCATATACTTTTGACAAAGATCTTAAATGGAAACTAATTTGAAGAGTATTAGACTTTGAGCTCTTTGAAGACAAGATGTCTTAATTATCTGGCCTAACACATACTAGGTAGTTATT